CTCTGTTTGATCATTTTCTGATTATGCCCAACCTAATCTTAGAGGATGGGGGGACGAAAGGTGCCGATGCCGCTGCTCCTCGGAATTCTCTCCTGGGGTGCGTTCTGACCAGGCTTTCGAGGCGAATCCAGCCGCATGGCGACGAGGGAAGGGCAGCGGCAACGCTACCCGTACTTCTGTCCCCCCCGAGAGGAGAGATGCGGGGAGGTGCAGAGGGGAAGGGACTGGGGCAGGGCGGAGAGAGGAGGAGGGAAGGGGGGGAGGCAGGAGTGGGGAGGAGGGGGGGGAGAAGGGTGATGGCCCCGGGAGAGGCGGGCGCGCCGAGGACGCGGCGTGCGGCGGCCTCTGCGCGAAGGGGCAGATCGTCCAGAGCACCAAGAAAGGGGAGGAGCGCGGCATCGTCCCCCTCTGCGCATCGTCGTCGGCGTCGGCGTCGGCGTCGGCGTCGGCGTCGATGTCGTCGGCGTCGTCGTCGTCGTCGTCGTCGTCGTCGTCGTCGTCGTCGTCGTCGTCGTCGTCGTCGTCCTCGTCGTCGCCATTGTTCGAGGATCGAGGACTGATTCTTCAGGGGATGGGAGGGCGTCGTGACCTCTGTCGTCATCGAAAACGGCGCTGCCGCTCCTCCAGGAGGAGGAGGGGGGAGGGGGAGGAGGAGGAGGAGGAGGAGGAGGAGGAGGAGGAGGAGGAGGAGGAGGAGGAGGAGGAGGAGGAGGAGGAGGAGGAGGAGGAGGAGGAGGAGGAGGAGGAGGAGGAGGAGGAAGGACGAGGCGAAGGATGAACAGGAGGAGGAGAAGGAGGAAGAGGAGGAATGTGGGAGGGAAAAAGGAGGCGTAGGAGGAGGAGGAGGAGGAGGAGGAGGAGGAGGAGGAGGAGGAGGAGGAGGAGAGGAGGAGGAGGAGGAGGAGAGGGAGGAGGAGGAGGAGGAGGAGGAGGAGGAGGAGGAGGGGAGGAGGAGGAGGAGGAGGAGGAGGAGGAGGAGGAGGAGGAGGAGGAGGAGGAGGAGGAGGAGGAGGAGGAGGAGGAGAGGAGGAGGAGGAGGAGGAGGAGGAGGAGGTGGAGGAGGAGGAGGAGGAGGAGGAGGAGGAGGAGGAGGAGGAGGAGGAGGTGGAGGAGGAGGAGGAAGAGGAGGGGTACGATGGAAGATAATGGGGAGAGGAGCAGGCGGACTACTGTTCAGCAGTCTTCCAACATCCGCCTGCGGGAGGACATGCCCGACCTAAGTCTGCGTCATCCGCGGGGGCGCGAAGAGGAGCGCGCTTCGCGTGTCGAGGTCTGGGGCAGAGCGGCTGTCCTTCTCCAGTGGGGGCGGCGCGGGGGCGCGACGATGGCCGCGCGTCGTTGGGTGACCCGGCAACTGGCCTGGCGGACGGAGGGGGAAGGTGGGGGCAAGCAGCACAGGCAGCAGCGGGAGCGCGAGCGGCTGGAGTCGCAGCCACTTACCCGCTGACCAGAGCCCCGACAAACAACCATGATATTCACTGATGGTTGACGGATCGGGAATGGAGGCTCGAGTCGGAGGCGACGATGGGGGCGAATATCAGGGGAGCAAGAGGTAATGATACTGATCCGCTTGACGATTTCCATGGTTGCAAGGCTGTTCCAATGTTTCACACGGGCTGCAGAAAAGAGGGCCGCTAGATACTCTGGAATTTCTGAAACGTATCTGGATCCAATCGTATCATGACTTCGCTCTCTTCCTAGAATAGCCCAGGAGAGAGCAGTACGCCTATCCAGGGCCGCCTATGGTCTATTTCTTCGGCGAGGCTTTTCGGCGTATGCGTGTAATGCACGCCCCTGGGCTATTCGCCCTTGTCGTCGCCTCCGATCGAGGTTTCAGGTGTTTGCGTTTTTCGTCCCTGGTGGCACTCTGGAAGTCCCCTTGGAGGCCCAAGCGGAGTCCCCCGCGGAGGTGATGGGTGCTCGGGGAGGTTGCGTGGGCCTCCCTGGAGAGCCACCTCTGGCAACACCCGAAGTATGCCGAGGTGGAGGAGGAGAAGGAGGATGAGGAGGAGGAGGAGGAGGAGGAGGAGGAGGCGAATGCGGAGGCGGAGTGGAAGGAACACGTACGGGGGAGGTGGAGGAGAGGGATGAGGGCGAGGAGGGAAAAGATGAGGATGAGGGGCAGCAGCAATTCGGAGGAACAGCGAGGATGACACAAGAGGAAGAGGAGGATGAGGAGGAGGATGAGGAGAAGCAGGAGGCGGAGGGGGAGGAGGAGGAGGAGGAGGAGGGGCACGATGGAAGACAATGGGGAGAGGAGCAGGTGGAGGAGGAGGAGGAGGAGGGGGAGGAGGAGCAAGAGGAGAGGAGGAGGGGCAGGAGGATGAGAAGGAGGAGGACGACGACGCGAGGGGCAGGAGGAGGGTCCAAGGAGGAGCGCGGCCGTGCCCAGGAGCTCGCCAGAAGGCAGGCGGGCAGGCCAAGCACGGCCATGGCCGCGTCGCTGTACGCCGCCATCATGTTGTACACGTCGAACGCCATCTACCGCGACCTCAACCAGGAGAGCGCGGCGTCGACGCAGACGGCGACGGTGTCGTCATCGTTTTCAGAGGTTTCTCTTGGTGGGCGTCGCCACGGCCAGGCGCATCTCGAGGAGCTGGCCAGGATGGGCTCAGGGGGGGCCAGCGGACAGATTTCGAGCCGATTGCTGCGAGGGAGTTGGGCAACAACAAATTCTGTTTTACACTAGTACTTCGCGCTTTGCGTTTTTTTGTTTCGTCTACTGGTGCGTCTTCGTCGCCACAGCTGGACTCCCCCTCGAAATTCTGACCAGGACGCTTTCCTGGATGGGTGGGGGGTCGATCCTTGACCCCAGACCCGTCCAGGGGAATGGGACGAGAAGGAGCTGGACGTCTGGCGGATAGGTGCTTCAACTTGGCGGTAGTTCTTGCATTCCAGACTCGGGGGGCCGCCTCCGTGCCCCAGGTCCATGCAGCACTGTCCTGGGGCAGCAGGCCGTTCCCGGGGAGGGAGGGCGCGGGGACCGAACAATCCGAACCGACGCGAGCGTGAATTCTCGGAGGTCCGCGCGGGCTGCCTGGGGCCCACATGGGCGACGCAGGAGAACGGGTCCGATGGCGCCGGCATTGGCGAGCACGCTTCCCGCGAAAGGTTGCGCGCAAGCGCCGCCCCCTCACGCGGTTTGCCGCGCGGGCGGGCCGCGTAAGCTGCGGCGTGAGGTCGCCATGCCATCTCGCGTGGGACGTGAGACCAGTTTTTAGTCGGGCACGTCCCTCTACAGGAGGAATATTTAGAAATACGTAGTAGAAAACAGTATTGAGAGGATTTTCCGCGTATTTTTATCATTTGGGGCTATTTTTGGGTTATTGCGAGTTGTCCTAGGGATCTTTTAGAGGCCACCTGAGGAAGCCAGACATTCAGCCCCTTCCGCAACCGTGTTCGGTTCGAGCAGGGTCTTCGGCCCCTTTGGAGGCAGACACGCGTGTGCCTGAGCTGATACCGAAAACGAGATCTGCGATAGCTGCCGCTTCTGTTCCGCCGCTCCACCGTGTTTGGTGGTAGCGGAGCTGGCAGACGCTCCACGCGGAGCGCCATCGCGCTTCAAGAGTGGGGCGATTTCACGGATTGAGATTCCGACGACAGCACGGTGATCGGTGATTACCTGGCGAGAACAGAACGGCCCATCGCCATAACATGGGAGATGAAGAGGATGATGATGAACGAGAGTACGTGGCTCCAGTCGGGAGAGAAGGCGGGCCAGGCGTGAATGCCGGAAGGCATGTTCCGCCACCGGTCATCAAGGACTCGACGATCGAGGAGCTGCGCAGGTACGTACGGAGGTTGAGGATCTGGTCCAAGGTGGCGACGGGGATTCCAGCACATCAGCGGGGTCTCCACGCGTACTACAGCATCTTGGAGAGCGGCGACGACCATATCCAGAGCATCGTGGAGGGTCTCGACCAGAACGAGCTCGAAGGAGAGAACGGAGTAGAAAACATGGTGAAGGCGCTCGAACAGGAAATCCTGCCGAAAAACGTGTATGAGAAGTACTTGGAATTCGAGCACACTTTCTACGGGTCGGAGCGCAAGAAAGGAGAGAGCCTGCAGCAGCACTCGATGAAGATCAAGAAGGCCTTCGACAGGCTCAAAAAGTTGCAGGTGACGCTGGGCGATGTGCAGGGTTACCTCCTTGTCCGACAGGCGAAGCTAGATCGCACGGAGCGTATGGCGGTGATATTGCAGACGTCGGGCTCCCTGGCCTACGACGACGTGCGGGCGGCGCTCAAGGGGCTTCGCGACGACAGCTCGCTCGAGAAGACCACCAGGGGCTACCAGGGCGATTCTGGGCAGCACCGAGCGGCGAAGGCGTTCCAGGTGGACGAGGACGACGAGCAGGACGAGGACGAGGGCCCGATTGCGCAGGCGCTGATGGCGCTGGAGGGTGGCTCTGACCAGGAGGACGTCGCCGAAGAAGACGTCCTCGACGAGGGCGAGGCCTACGCGGTGCTGGCGGCGTGGCAGGCCGGGCCTGGTGGACGCGGAAGCTGGCAAGAAACGAGGCGTATCGTCAGGGGCCGCAAGACGTCCAGGGGCTACCGCGATGTGAGCGCGCCGAAGGGGAAGTCCGGCGGCCGCGGCAAGGGCAGCCCGGAGTACCAGAGGGAGGCGCGCAAGAAAATCGAAGAGCTGAAGAGGAGGACGCGCTGCCATTGATGCGACCAGGTGGGCCACTGGACGCGCGAGTGCCGGAACCCACCGAAGCAGAAGACCAGACCGGAGCAGGCCAGGGCGGTGTACGACGGCGACGATCCCGAGGAGTTCGAGGACTTCCACGTTTTCGACCTGGAGGAGGAGCAGACCCTGGCCACCAGCACCGACCGGGTGGAGTACGACCAGCCGCCCGAGGTAGACGACGCCACGAAGATCAATAACCGTGACCGTAGGCTGCGCGCGAAGGCGCGCCGTCAGGCAGCCCAGGCCGAGCAGGCCTCCAGTGCTGCCGCAGCTGCTTCATCGCCCACGGGACTCGAGATGGGTCCTCGCAGATTTCGAGAGTGTTTGGAGGGGGCAAAGAGGCGTTTGCAGAAGTTTTCGACATCTCAGCTTTTGGGAATCCTGGAGGGCATGGTCGATACGGGTTGTTCTAGGCTAGTCGTCGGGGATCTTGCGATTGCACTGCGCGACTGTGCTCTTCGTAGGCTTTTTGGACGCTGCATGCGATGTGCACCGTGTATCAGCGGGAGTTTTCAATTCGCGAGCGGCCGGGCCACTCGGTCAAATTGGGTTGCTGAGTATCCTGTGGTCCTGGGGGGGAGAAGCGGAATCCTTAAGTTTTGTGTGGTGCCGGGCTGGGCCCCGCTACTGATCTCCGAGGGGCTGCTCGAGGCCCTCTCCGGAATCGTGGGCGCCTCCGAGGGGGCGCTCACCCTGAAAACCTTGGGGGTTACTGTGGCCCTTCGACGATCCCGAGATAGCCCCGCGACTAAGCAGTGGCGCCTGTCTCTGTGCGACTTCGGCGAGCAGGGCTTCCAGAAGCCCGCGAGAGCCGGGACTAGGACATCCGAAGTGGTGTGCGTCTCAGACGAGTCGATCGCGCAGGAAAAGAAAGAGCTGGTGGCGGCTTTCCTGCATCCCACATGCCAGTCGTGGATTTATAACAACATCGCTTCGGAGCCGAATGTCTCGGAGATTTCAGGAGTGCCGAGACCGAGCCAGTTACTGAAACCGATTTCGAGCCCGAGCTTAACCAGTTCGAGACCGCCCATGTTGTGTTCGGGGACACCGACGACCACGGGGACATCGATCTCGAGTTCGAGGACACTGATTCCGAGATCTAGGGGCCCACCGATTGCGAGTGCGACGACATCTTCGGGGGCCTCGGGGACCTCGGGAACGACTTCGGGAACCTCGGAGGCCACTGAAAGGGATTCGGGACGCCCAAGACATCCTGGGGAGTGGGAGAAGAGCGAGGACAAATATTCTGAGGCGCAGGAACTCGAGCCAGACAGCGAGAACCCAAACGACACACAGCCACCTGGGCCCAAGGTCGCAAGAGATCAGCAATTTTTCCATACTTTTTCGGCGCATGCCGACCACCAGAGTCCATCGAGTTGCAGATCCATGGGCGTGCCCCGCCCGCTATGTGTGGCTGCTGCGCTGGTGCGCTGGGCAGGCGCAGGCGCTGCGCTGCGGCTTCCAGAGACTTCAATGCCTTTGAGAGAGCCGTGTCTCGGGGGGCCCCAGCGCTTTGCTGGAGAGCGGCCCCGTGACAACGAGCAGCCTCGAGAAGAAGCAGGCGCGTCGGTTGAAGTGGGTCGTCAACGCGACGCCCGCGTCGAAGGCTGAGCTGGTGGACCTCTTCGTCCCGCGGAAGCTCCAGTTGCCGGATCTCCCGCAGAACATGGGGGTGGCCGATTTGCAGGGCGCCCCGCGGACCTACGAGGAGGTGCTCAACAGCGACGCCGAGTACTGCAGCTGGACCCGGACACCCACCACGCATGTCAACGACGTGATGAGGCATTTCATCCAGTGCATCGAGATCAGAGCGAGGGGGGCGAGCAGCTCACCACGCAGAGCGGACGAGAGGATGGCGGACGCGGCTCGGGAGAGAGTCCGACAGAGGACTCGTGAGAAGACGGGGCGAACTGAAGCCGTGCGAGAAGCAGGACGGGGCAGCACGCACCAGGAGAGTGAGAGGTCAACGAGGCGAGCCCTACTGGAAGCAGGTAAAGTGGCGTGTCACGAGGGACCGCTACACTGGGGAGGTCATCGACGACGCGGCCATTGAGCACGGCGAGGAGATGAGCGACCTGAAGTGGATCTACGAGTTCCAGGACGGCAAGGGGATCCGGGACATCGTGACGCAGTTCTGGTGCGAACCTGCCGAGCCGAAGACCCGGGATATCAATAATGGCGAGAGGAAGCGCATCATGGGGGACGTGGCTCACCACATCCCGGAGCAGATCCTGCTCACCAACAACGGCGGGGTGGTCAGCAGGTTCGAGGTGTGCGACGCCGCCGACGACCTGGCGGAGATCTTCTCACCGCCAAGGGTTCTGAACGGCGAGAATCAGACCAACATCATCGGGGATCTGGCCCTGGACCTCAAGACGGGCTGGGGCTGTCGCAGGAAGGAGGATCTCATGTGGGCGCTGGCGGAGATCAAGAAGCGCAAGCCCAAGGTGGTGGGGCTGTCGCCACCGCGCGCGATGTTCTGTGCCCTCCAGAGCCTCAACCGGGACAAGCGCCCTGAGGACTGGGAGAAGCAGTGCCGAGAGGCCCTGCTGTTCCTGAGGTTCGCGATCCGCATCGCCAAGATCCAGCTGGGCGCGGGCCGCGACTTCTACCTGGAGCACCCCTGGATCGCGACTTCCTGGGGGCTTGCCGAAATGAGGAGGCTCATGAGGAACCCGCGGGTCAAGAGCATCATCCTGGACCAGTGCGCCTACAGCCAGAAGGACCCGAGCGGGCAGGGGCTGCTGAAGAAACCGACGGCGATACTCACCACCATGGGCCACGCTGAGGACCTGGAGAGGAGGT